CCCCAAAACCCCAAAACCCCAAAACCCCATTAGACACAGTATAATTTGATACTGAATAAAATAAAATAAAATTTATTTGGATTATTTATATTTTATCTAAAATGGCCAATAATATTTATACTCATTCTGACATCGTTCGATTCGTTGCAAGAAAAATTACTGAGAATATAGAAAGTAAAGATCTTCTAAAGAGCAATCAGCAGTTATGCGCTAAAATTTATACTGCCTTTTCTAAATATATAAGTCATATATTTAAGAGAGCTTAAAAAGAAAACGCATCCTATTGTGAAGTTGATATCCCATCTATCGGTATTTTCACTAGAGAATCAGATAGAGAGCTAAAAGCATTCATTGTTCAGTATTATCCTTCATAGCAAATTTGTGATGAAGCCAGAATAATAAAGAAGGTATTATTTAAAGGAGATAAGGATTAGAAATCAACTATCTAAAGTGAATTGAATCTCGGTAAATGTGCTGAAGTGTGCTTTACCAGTAGAGAGAAGGCTTAAAGCATTCTGCAACTAATCAGTTAATAAATTGTAATATTAAAACATCAATTTAATATCGTTATTAGGGTTAATATGTAAAGCAAGGATGCTAAGTACTCTTAGACTTAAGGTTAGATGAATTTCCCTCTAAGATCCTTGTAATCAACAACAGTTAACAGGATTTTGTTGATAGATCATCTGTCCATAATCTTATTGAGTCAAAGCGTTAAAATCACTATGAATCATCTAGTAAGAGATCTGCTAGTCCAGCCCTTTCATCAAGATCATCAATTTGGCAGTCAAAGCTGGACACCCCAAAGACAATGAGTGTTAATAGATAGTAAATCAATAAGAATTAGTTGACTTCTGGTTTTGTAATAAAATTTCAGTTTAATTCATGATTTGTAGAGTCAAACTAGAAAAGCAGCATCAAGAGGAGCAGGTGGCTTAAGTCAATTTGAATCAGATCCATATTTTATTATAAACTTAGCAATGACCAAATAAGCTCAATAAAATCTAAACAATTCAGTAGCCTTGCCCAATATTACAATTAATCTTGGCAATTTTGTGAGTGATCACAAAATAAACACTTTCAAAAAATTAGAAATGGATTCTAGAATAGACTAAGTCAACTAAGCTTAGCAGTAAAAAGAGAGGAAAGTTTTTGATAAGACTAATGAATAGGTGGTGGACTTTCAAAGGAATCAAGAATAAATTAAATTATAAGAGTTAATAGAACTAGAGGAAAAATAGAGATAGAATGAACAAAAGAATACCTTAAGGTAATAGCTTATTGAATAAAGGGAAAGAAAGAAACTTGAATAGTAGCTTGAGAAATAATTGAATAAGTAATTTGATTATCAATTCCCCTTCCATGATAAACCGAATCACGGTAGAGCAAAGACCCTTCAAGAGAATCTTAAAGTCAACCAAGATGATTTTATTAAAAAACTGCCACTTCAGCATGACATATAGGAAACTTAGCATGCTTATAGGCTGCTTAAAGATCAACATAGAGAAGAGACAGATAAGTTAGCCACTGATCGTGTGTAGATAAATTTAGAATAGTTAAAGCAGTAGAAGTTAAGAGAAAAAGATGTTTTCCATAGATAAATTTATGATTATCACCAATAAGAGTAGTTTGTTCAATAAGCTAGAAAGCAGAATCTTATCGAGACTAAGGATACTCTTAAAGAATAAATCAAAGCGACTAAGACTATGAGAGAAAATTAAAAGCTATTTGAGAATAGCTTTACATCTGGTGTGTAATGGATGGATTCTCAAGACATGAGTAAGACATTCAATAATTTTGGTCCTGATGAGAAGCCTGAAAGAGTTCAGTACTATAATATCAAAGCATAGTTTGATAAGGAATTGATAAGAGAGCATTTGAAGAAATAAATGAAGGACAAAGAGTTAGCAAAAAAGAGCTAAGATTAGGATTATTTGGATTATGGGCGGACACTTAATGAGCTTGCGAACTAAATGAATAGATAGGAGCAAGAGAGACAAAAGAATAAGTAGTAGACTCAATTCTAGCAACTTCGATAGGCCTGGGATGAGCAGAAAAAGCAAAAGGAAGATTTAAAAATAGTTGAGAAAATATTCAGATGAAGTTAAAAGAGGTTAATTTCTCTCTATAAATTGATATAGCTGATGATGACTATTAATATATCTATTATTTAAGAATGTTTTGTCATATGAATCGAAGATTCCAGTTTCATGGGGTTTTGGGGTTTTGGGGTTTTGGGGTTTTGGG